TGATGACTAGACTGCCTTCCTTCCTTAGTCTTACTACCTAGCTAACTTAAGGTACGGGCGTAGCGCAGATAGCCTCGTGTAGCTTTGTCGCGAAATTCCTAAACAAACAAACAAACAAACAATCATTGAAACGATTCGGCAGTTAGGCGTATTAAAGAGGTCGGCTGAATTGTGTGAAGAATTGAGTTCAGATCATAGAAGAAATGAGACTGTTGAGGAAGCATTGAACTGTGTACTAATATTATAACTGCTATTTACCATAAAAGTGACTTTACAAATGTAAACATTATAAGAGGGGAGGGTATGCCAAGTAGAAGCGTTTAGAATGGCTTCCTCCTACAAATGGCCTGTTGTGACTACATGTCTTCAGAGCCACGAATTGCCCTGTGGAATTCCTGTTTTTTCAGTACTTGTGACCCATTAAAATATGGATGGTTTTTAGAGTAGAATGCAGCTATAAGACCAATTTTGATGATAAAGACACATATTTCATCCAGTCTGCATACAGGCACTTTCTGTATATACCAGAAAGGTTGCACAGAGGTGTGACCATGTAGAAAACTTAGTTGTTTGTGAATTTGTCTGTGCATGTATAGGACAACATCCAGAATTATATATGAATGGGAAATGGTTTATATATAGTTTACATAGAAATAATTATTATCATTGAAACTTGCATTATAAAGTATTTGAAAATAAAAGGTATAGATTATTATTTTCAGAACAATGATGCCTTAAATTTGCATACTTAGATTGTTGCGTAGCGAGGTCACGTGACTAGTATCACGCCACTCCTTCTCGAACCTTCGTGAATTATCGGGAGACTACTAGATTGGGGGTAGGCTGGTATATATAAGATGGTCACAACGTGACGGAACAATGAGTAATTGAACTGCAGTCAGAGAGTGTGTAATTGAACTGAGTATTGTTGAAGTCGAGCACGTGAGACGTTTGTTATAGAGCGACTGTTGAAATTAAGTGTATCGTAAAGTTGTATTCGGAAAGAATAAACCAGTTTTATTTAAGAAAGGACTTGTGTCGCTAAAGTTTCGTCGGAACGAATTTTCGAAAAATTAACTAACGAACGGAGACGTAACAATATTATTATCTGGAAGTGAGTGTTTATTATTTTGATGTGTATTACAAGTGCATAAAATAATTATACTTTTTGTTGAATGCGAAAGAAATGAAATAAAAACTGATTTTCGTTTTCTTCTTTTTAACTTTTGACAACCTTTACACATTCAAGTTTTGTGCAGCAGGCATGTTTAGAATCAACTAATTCAGATGGTTTGGATTGTTTGAATTTCGCGCAAAGCTACACGAGGGTTATCTGCGCTAGCCGTCCCTAATTTAGCAGTGAAAGACTAGAGGGAAGGTAGGTAGTCATCACCACCTACCGGCAACTCTTGGGCTACTCTTTTACCAACAAATAGTGGGATTGCCCGTCGCATTATAACGCCCCCATGGCTGAAAATGCGAGCATGTTTGGTGGGACGGGGATTCGAGTACAGAGTCAATCAATTTTATAAAATAGGACTAAATATATAGGACTAAATATATATGTATCAATTGTGTTCACGCATTTAACATAAACGCTACAGGACGCTAGGTAATGTGTTGATCGTAAAATGTATTTTCTTTGTTTCAGTATTTTATAAATCTTTGTGTTTTACATGTTGATGATACTGTTTCTGTGTGGATTTTTTGAAATGAAATAATCTGTTTTAATCATTCACCAGTTCATCAATTAATTAGTTCCAGTGAAAGTTCTGTAGAAATAACACAGAACCCGTGATTTATATTAACATCCTAAGTACTTACAACCAGAATTGTTTGTAAGATGTAAAATTCAGATAATACACCGAAAAGTCACTCTCACGAAATGATTACACCATTATAATAGTTTTTTTATATCTCTTCGCATTGTGCTACATTGTATTGATATTTTTGACAATACATTATCTTGGGAGCTATTATTAACTAAATTATATAACTTAGAGGAAACTTTCAAGTTCTTCGCCATCTTCGAAAGCTTGCTTTCTAAAACCTGCAAAGTTTACCCACACACTGAAAAATATCGAGCGATTAAAAGAGGTAAGAAGAAACTTTTGTTTTTCCAGATTTGTATTTTTTTGTTCGTCTTAACTTCTGAATTATAGCCACTCCGAGAATCTCAAGGGTTTATAACGCTAAAAATAGGAGTTAGATACCCAAAAAATATCCCACTTTGTTGCTTTATGCTTAAGAATATACACACTTTTGCATTATACTTGTTTCCTTGAAACTTTCGAGACTTTTATTTCGTAACAAAAACTTTATTCTGCATCTGGCTTGTTACAACAAGATTCGATAATATATCGAAGGTCTGCATGAAAGAAGGTGAAGGTAGGTTATTTTCAGATATAAAATTTAAAAATCCTATTCCACATTAAGGACAAACTTGTAAAGATAGACGTTAGTAGTTACCCCCTCCCCTTCCACTGGCGGCAGAGGGTGCTACACGTGTGTCGACTTAAAGCAATAGGGACGAGAGGAGTGAAGGGGTAGAGACAATGATGTCATCAGAGAGTATGCATTGCTAGGCCACCATGACATGCGGACATGACGTCAGAGACAATTACGTAATAGTTCCACGAAATGGAGCCAGAGGGCGCATTGCTAGGCCGCCATGACAGATAGCCATAACGTCAGAGACAATGACGTCCACGACATGTATCAACGTGTCTCAACAATGATATTTATCAAAGCATCGGTTAAAACACTATATCAGTTATTAACGTTACATCATTTATTAAGGTATTTAACTTTAGATGTAACATTTCCAGCCAAAACTACGAACTCAGGTAATGGACGATGGGTCTCGTCCAGCATCTACAACAAACTTATGTGTTCCAACATAGCATAAAAAAGTCATCGTACATTTAACATAGATTGAATATATGTTTTTGTAGGTCTGTACATGGGGTAATCTACGATTATCTCAGTGTTTTTCTGCAACTTTTATCTGGTATGATTTTTATCAATTATCACAGTAATTTATTCATGTTACTACAATGAACTTTACTGAAGTTTCGTAAGTCTTATATCAACTTCGTTGACACTTAAGATGTAAAAAATCTATTATTATGTTGTACAGTAAGAAAAATACTAACTTGATTATAATAAACATGGCCTTTGAACAATGATCTTTAGAAATAAATCTAATCATGTTGATGAATGGTTATTTATGTGAAACTTATAGGAACGCTCTTTATAAACTGATTTCATGTAAGTGATAGATTTGTCTTTTCTTGTAGACCTTTTACCGTGAGATCACAAAACTTACAAGTATATCACTCTATTGAAAAACGTTCACTTTAATGTTTGTGATACTTATTGTTCCAATGATATTGTAATGTAATAAAGTATTTAACACATTCTCCGTTCTTTATATGTACAAGAGCCACAATCAGTGTTCTGTGTCGTTATATATCAGGTGAAATATAATAGTTCTTGGTTTCATTACATGACATAAAACTGAATATTCCTCAAGAAGCAGTCGTTGACCAACATGTAACTAACGAAAAAATGTCAGTAAGAGAGTTTAACTGAGTAGGAAGTACTAGGTTGTCAAGAAATTAATGTCGCTTTTTTTAGATGAAAAAACCCGAACAACTTATATATCAAAACAAAACATTTATTAAATGAAATAGTCTCCATTCTTATCGATGATGCTTTTCCATCTTACAATCAGGTTGTTAATGCCCTGATTAAAGATATCACTTGGCTTTGAAGCAAAAATGTCGATATCCTTTTTAACACCTTCCACATTTGCATACGTTTTCTCATTAAGATGGTGTTGCAGCAAAC